AACAGCTAGAAAGTGAATAGACAACAAATTCGCGTTTTGCGCAATACGTTCACATATGTCTTAATTTTATGTATAAAATATACTTTGTATGTATTATTAATCAATATTTTATGCTGTGTATCGTAGCTCCAACTGTATCGCGCATGTTAAATTATGCAGTGGGCGACGAGGTATTTCGAAAGGGTATCACCAAGTATTTCGCTACAAAGTAAGTACATATGTATAATGTAGTCTATTATAGTTATCACATATAGCAACATTAAATATCATAAGTATAATGTTTCTTGCATTCACGTTGGAAAATATAGTACGCCAAAAAATATAGAAAGTATATCAGAAATACAAACTTATGCATTCAATATTCAATGTTATTCGATTAGAAAGAGACCATACTTACTCCTTAACTATAATTTGACTAAGCTAGTTTTAAGTTATATTCTTAGTTCCCACATGTGTATTAATTAAATTATACATTAATACTCACGTTTGATTATGTAATAGTAAATTTAAATACATACGACATATGTGTTATAGCTATTTTCTTTAGGCAAAATATGGCGGTCACTCCCGATGATTTGGGGAGTGCTATACAAAGTGCTAAAGACGATGCTTCTTGGGTTTCTTATATGCGAGATCAAAAATTCAGAATAAAAGAAGTGATGGATACGTGGATAGTCCAAAATCGTTATCCTGTGCTGAATGTAACGATGAATTACGAAACTGGTGAAGTGGCAATAACACAAAAATGTTTCCACGCAACTGAAGATATCAATAATAAATGGTAGATACCCATATCCTACACCGTTCCGGATTTTTCCAATACTATGCTCAATAATCGGTTAAAACCAGATGAAACTCTTAAAGTGCAAATTAATACAAGAGATTGGATTATTGTCAATCTACAACAAACTGGTATAAATCTATAAATTTTACGCTCTTTTATATCTAAATCTTATTTGCTTTATTAACACGAAAGTTTTACATTATATTCAAGTTCTTAATGTATTTTTATTAAAAAGAAGCTTCAAGATTTATATAATTATAATGTTCTTCGATACATTGGTGAATTACATTGGTAATTACACAATGGTAGAAATAAACGTGCATGTTAATTAACATTAATACAAATAGACATAAGGGGAAGTGGGGAGCAAGTTCGCCGACGATTTTTATGATAGGGAATGTTTTAACAAAACATTATATATATATATATATATATATACATATATATATATATATATAATATATATATTCCGCAGCTAAGGGACTAAATACATTTATATGCATACTATGTATTGTTATTATCTATATGTTAAATAAAAAATTATATTGTATGAAATGGCTGCATAAAAATAAATTACTACATATTATTGATAAACATCTTTAACATCCTAATCTGTTTCAGGTGAAAAGATTCGCAGAAACTTTTTTTTCATCAAGATCCAAACGCCTTGTCAAACTATAATAGTTATTTTAATTACTAAAGCTATTACTTAATGTTGAAAGTAGCTAATTCTGCTATTCTTCCTTAACTTAAACGTACTATACTTGAGATATATTTGAGGTAATCACTACATCATTAATATTAGTATTAGGATTACTGATGCTAAGAGGCTTACAAGCATCCATCAAAATTCTTAAGTCTTCGTCATTCAGGTAACTAAATATTTTTTCAGTACAGTCATGTGGTAACTCAGGAAAGTTGTTAAAGAGAAGATGGAAAACTTTATTGCCTTGTTTAAGTAACTCTTTTCTTTCCATACCCTTTCTGAAATGACTTCCTATCATACTAGCGTATATTGGAAATTTGGTTTTATAGTCGTCTGATTTTAAAACCAGCACTATATTTTCATTCCTCATATATATTGCTAATGAGCTTGTACCTTTTGCCAAGATATCATAAAATGAGATATTAGTATTATTAATCTTCTCACTCTTCATGCTTGCTATTTCTTCCTCACAATCATCCTGAAAATCACTTATTTCATCACTGCTACTCATTGATAGTAAATTTTTTTTACTTACATATAAATTTGCGGTTTTCATTTTAACTATGTGGCGTTTAATAGCTTCAGCAGTTACTGCACGCGAACACATACGACAATCAGGATCGTGGCCCCACGTGATACCACGATCGGAATAATCATCATCATCATAATCATCATCAGAGTCATTATAGCTGCTGATATAATGGGATGCAGCCATAGCATAATCAAGAGGTGTACAATTATTTCTACTCGTAATATTAATATCAGAACCATATTCCAGAAGAGTTGCAACAACTTCTGTACGTCCTTCTTGAGAAGCAATATGAAGTGCTGTTCTGCCATACTCATCTCTAGAGTTAATATCAGCACCAAATTTCAAGATAGTCTCAATAATTTCCCGATAACCTTTTTCAGCACCTAAGTGCAGTGGTGTGATGTCATTTTTCATTTTAGAATCAACTTTGGCACCGCATTTTAGCAATACTTTTACAACCTTTTTATGACCCTCCTGAGTTGCAATGTGCAATGCAGTGGTCCCATCCTTTTGCTTAGCATTTACATTAGCTCCTTTATTCAAAAGC